CCCCGCCTGACGCGGGGGCGAGGAAAGGGAAGAACCAGCCCTGGGGCATCACCCACCCCGGAATCCCCAAAGCCTCAACAAGGGGGGCTCAGCCCTTGGAAATTCCACTTTTGTTCGTTTTTCCGGAGATTTTGGCCGGCGTCCAGCCAGCGGAAAGCTCCTTGCTGTCTCTGCAATGCCCCGAGTGCCGACGCCTCTTTGTCCCCTCCGGGGGTGTCCAAAGGCAAAGGTCGGCTCATTTTTATCTTTTGTTCTTCATCGAGCTCTAATTTGGGGAGTTTGAAGATATTTGGTTTGTTTTGGAACAAAACCACCCAAAACTATGTACAAAAATTACATATATTAATTGTATTGTAATATTTATATTGAATTGTATTATATTATATAATTTTTCACATATGTCTTCACCTCAACACATGAATACATATATTTATTGTTATATATATTTATACAAATGTACTCGAAATAGCGATATAGCCGACCCAGAATCCCCCTTTACCAGCACTTCAGGCAATAAGACACTGATTTTTTTTAAAGCTTTTTTTTTTTTTTTTTTTTGGCAAAACCAGAATGCACAAAGCAAATGTGAGTTCAGCATCGGCTCCTTGGCAGAGGCTTCCCAGGCGTAAAAAAACCCAAGAAATGAGCATAAAGGGGTGAATTTGCTGAGAACCTGAGGGAGCACAAGATTCAGCACCTAAATCCACGCAGAGCGTGGGAACCAGGAGGGAAATTTTGGGAACGTCTCGTCCAGGAGAGGCCTCAGCACGGGAGAGCCACAGGGACAAACGTGGGTCTTGCTCAGGTCCAGCAGGACAAACATGGCTTAAAAAAAAAAACAAAAGAAAAAACCAAAAAAGCACCTTTTAACCTTTTCCAGAGGAGTCAGGGGTGGAGAACCAGAGAGGGAGAGCAGCCAAAACCCCACAGAGTCCTCCACGCTGGACAGGTCAGACCTGGGGGACAGTGCTCACCTGGGACAGCTCGGACACCGCTCACAACACCCACAAACAGCATTTGGGGGACAGGTATTGCCACAGGTGGGAGAAGGAACCAGGAACTTTCTGGCTGGATCTCTTCTCTGAGGACAAACAGGGCTTTGCTTTGGATGGATCCCCCTTTCCCCCCACAAATATTCCATTTCTCAGCCGTTGCCACTTCCACACAGGTGGAGGAGCCACTCCAGGGCTCCCCGCAGGTCCTTAAAGCCCCATCCAGGATCAGACCCGGGGCCACAGGCGACGTCTGGGCGGCTCCTTCTCACCGGGCTGAGCTCGCCACCCCTTCCCACGGTGGTTTCAAGTCGGTGGCCGTGGCCTTTGAGTTGGTGGCCACCACCTTCCTTTAATCTGGCAGCCACGACTGCTGGGCACCGCTGGACATCTCTGCTTCCACCTGCCCCAGGACCCTCCCGCCGTGCTCTCCTGAGCCCCCGGCCCATCTCCCACCAAGCCAGGCCGAGTCTTTGAGTCTTTTGGGCTCAGGCAGGGGCCAGGCGCCTCAGGGGCACAGTTTGATGTAGGTGACAGTGGAACAGACCGAGAAGAGGGGGAACACCTTCTCCCGGAAGGCCACGTTGAAGGTGAAGATGTGCTGCATGCTCTCGGCGTCGTAGAAGGAAACCTCCTCGCCCTCGTAGTCCAGGTAGACCCGGACCCGGCTGAGCTTGTGGCCCAGGCACAGGGGCGTGCGCTGCGGGGAGGTGACGGCCCAGTAGCGGCCCCCGTTCTGCTGCACGGCCCAGATGCCCTCGTCGGGGGAGAACTGGGTCAGCCCCTTCCTGCGCACCGACTCCCTGGCCACGCCGAAAGCCCAGCCGTCCGACGGCCCCACCTCCACCTCCCAGTAGTGGCGCCCGGACTCGAAGCCCCTGGTGGCCAAGACCCGCGAGTTGGTGTCGAAGCGCTTGGGGTTGTCGGGCAGCTCCTGCTTCCGGCAGCCCATGCGGACGCTCTTGAGGTCAGCGGAGAGGATCAGCAGGTGGTTGGCAGAGTCGGGGTCCAGGGTCAGCTCCTCTGTCGGGGACAGCCGTCAGAGCAGTGAGAAGCCCAGCTCGCTGGGCACTGGGGGGATCTCAATAATCCCAGCCCCGAAAACCCCACCCTGACACCCCAAATCCCGGCAGGGACGGGAGGGGCTCATGCTGCTTCTGGTGGGAAACGGGGGGACGACAGCACGAGGCCGCCAGGAGCCAGGAACACCGTGAAAGCACGGGCAGATAATCCTCAGTTACCAACAGCAAAGACGGGCCTTAGATCAAGAACGCTTTTCCCACATAAATCGATTTTTTTCACCTTGCTTTCTGGCTCGTCCACACCCGTGGCATCACAAATTGCAGAGTTTGGATCCCCAAACCTCCCCAAAGGCACCCAAATCCTTGATCTAAGCCGTGATCTGAGGGCATCTTTCCACCTGGAGTGGCCCAAACCAAGCATGCAGGTGCAGCCCCCTCCCAACAGCTTCTCTGTCCCCCCTCTCCAAACTCAGGCTCAGAGGAAGCAACGAGTGACCTCAAATTGTGGTTGTAGTCAGCAAAGTCACCACGAATCCACGAGAAACTTTGGGGGGAGCCTAAAACGGGGCCTGAGGAGCTGAAAGGCAGCAGGTGCTGCACCACGAAGGCCTTTGTGCTCTCCAAAATTCACAGATTTAGGTCAGGAACCGGCGTTAAAATTTCCCAAAGGAGACACAGTGGCACCAAAAGCCTCATGGTGCTTCGTGAAGGTGGGGGAAGTCAAACAAGGACAGGGAAGGCTGGGATGATTTTTCCTTCAAAATTTAAGCACCGGGTTACTCCCCGAAAGTGAGAGAGCAAACAAAAACCAGCATCTCCTGCACCAGGGACTGCAAACCCCGGCAGCAAAACCCTGGGGAAATGGGTTGGAATGAGCCGATTTTGGGTTTTTTTTGGGTTTTTTTTTGTCTACAAAGTGTTTTCCTTCCTCGGGCATCTGCAGGGTTTGGGTTTGAGGTTCAGCCTCTCTGCACATGCACCCACCCCCCTGGGCATGCAGCGAGGGCCCTGGGCTAGCCAGTGCTGGTCGCCAGGTGCCTCCCTGTGTTTTCTGCCAGCTCTGGGCATTTCCAGGGGCGCTGTTCGAGAGCAGAATCCTTGGAAAAGGTCCAGCCCGGGGGTCGTCGTCCTTTGAGACCCCCGTGCTGGAGACCACAGCTTTAAAAGCCAAAAAGGAGCTTTTTCTTCTGAAAACTCTGCTCTGGGCACCTTCACACCAAGGGGGTGCAGCTGGGGCAAATTTTAATCTCGAGCTCAGAGGGAGACCTGAGATTAAATTAAATCATTCTGGGGTTGATCCCAGAATTCCTGCAGAGCTCGTTCCCAGGGGCTCATCCAGCATGGAAATTGTCACGGGCTGGGTTTCCCCTCACATTCCTGACCTCTGCTGTGACAAGGAGTTAAATTCTTCATTAATTTAAACAATGAGTGGCATTCTGCTGGGATTTGATTTAAATTCTTAAATAACTTAAGGAATTAAGCAAATTCTGCTGGGATTTAACCCCTCTGACTCCACACTGGAGCGGATGCCAGAGCTCACACTCAATTCTCAATTCTCAATTCTCAATTCTCAATTCTCAATTCTCAGTTCTCAATTCCCAGGTGCAAACAGGAGCCCAGCAGAGGAAATTTGGCAGACTAAGAGCCAGGTGTGGCTCAGAGGGAGATTTTGGTCTCAGATCTGTGGGTTTGTTAGGTGCAAACAGGCAGAGAGGACCTGGCTGAGCTGTCAGATCCCCGGCGTCAGTTAGAAAAATCGGCTTTGGGCTCTGGAGCTGAGCAGGCTGGATCTGGAAATCATCGAGAGAGAAGAAATTCAGGAAAAAGAAAGAAAAAAAAAAAAAAAAAAAAAAAGAAGGAAAAAAAGAAATCTAGAGTGTCTTTTTTTTTTTTTTTTTTTTTTTTTTTTTTTTTTTTTCTTCCTTTTTGTCCCCCTCTCTTCGGCTTTGCAAAGTACAACCACAATTTCGAGTCTTTGCTCCGGGCGCTATGTCTGAAATATCATCCTTTTACCTTTTTCACCTCGTCCCAGCTCTTCCTGCAGGTGATCTGAAAAGGAGACACGGGGACATGAGTGGGGACACCCAGACAGGCGGGACGGATGCCCCGAGTCTCCCTGGGGGAGCGGCGGCCCCGAAGCATCAGCGAGAGCTGAGGATGGAGCAGCGCAACTGGGGAGAGCACATTAAATTAAATACATTTAATGTTCATTGAAAACCCCCCTTCTGGGCATGAAGAAAACACAGGATTTATTTAAACCACATTTATCAAGCCCTGCCACATCCAGGCCTCGGGGATTTCAAGCCTTGAGCAAACCCTTTGAGCCAATTCTTGCCCCAGGGCGTAATTTCCATTTAGGAATTGTTTTTTTTTTTCTCGTCTGGGGCCGCTCTTTTCGGCGCCTTTCGCCTTTCCCGATCTCTCAGCGCCATCTCTTGGATTCCCGCTTTGCTGCAAGCCCAGGGCTTGGCAATCTCCTTGAAATTAAAGGTTTTTATTGCACCGAAACCGACGTTCACACTTTCCCCTCTTTAAAACAACATTTCCTTCCCCACAGCCCGGCCAGGACCAGCCTCCTCCTGCTCGTGCCCATCCCCAGAATGAGAACGAGGACCTCGAGCCCCTTTCCAGCCGAATCCTGCTCCTCTTTTGGCTCCCAGGAGCCCCCGGGCACTCCCGGGGCCAGGAAAGGACGGGGATTATTTTTAAATTATTTTTAAATTATTTTTAAATTATTTTTAAATTATTTTTAAATTATTTTTAAACCTTTCCCACCCACCTCGGAATTTCTTCAGGACCTTCTCAAGGACGACAGTTTTGAGGGAGAAGTTGCAGACGTGCATCTTCATGTCGGTGCAGACGGGGACGGGCTTGTGGCACTTCACGTCATCGCTCCTGCCGAGGGGAAAAAGGGAAAAACCAGGACGGGATTGTTGATATTCCCCCATTTCCAGCCCCATCTGCCACCCCTGCTCCTGCCCCGTCCCTCCCTCGATGATCTCGCTGAGATTTCTCCCTCCCCGGGGGGAGGAAACGAGGATTTGGGGAGGATTTTGAGGCTCCTCTGGGGTGGTGGGGGGATATTTTTGGGTTAAACCCCCCCGGCAGCTGCTCCTGCTGCAGCTCCAGTGTCATTTTTGGAGCTTGGTGGTGCCCGAACTGCAGCGCTGAGGGAACCGCGTGGGAGCAAATTTGGGGTTTCTGCTCTCGCTGGACCCTTGAAGAAGCCCACGGGTAGGAAAAAGGCACAGAAAATCCGATTTCCAAGGGGCTGGGAGGGACCCGGGGCTTGCAGAGAGCGGGAGGCGAACGCCATCGCCCCCGGGGCCGCCCTCGGGCACCTGGGCCGTGGACATTGACCTCCAAACAGGGCTGGGGAGGGCCGGGAGCTGAGGGCAGCAGGGAGAGCAGAATTCCGCACCTGCTTATGGTGGCCGTCACATCCTGGAAAGGAAAAAAGAGACCCCGAATGAATTCCCTGCGCTCTGCCCTCCCTCCCAGAGCGATTCCACCCGGCACCTCCATCCCTGCTGGAGCCAGGTGTGGATTCCTGCCTCAGGTGTTGGATCCCGGCTCCGGGAGGTGCCGTTCCCACCAAAGCCCTGCAGCACCTCTCCAGGGAAACCTCAATCCACAATTCCCCGGCTCCTGCCCGTGGAACGTGCTCTGCCTCAGCCTGGAAATCCTTCAGACGCCTCCCTTGCTCCGAGCAGGTTGTCCAGGTGAGCTGGGAGGATCCACAGGTAACCCCAAACAATCTCTCCAGCTCGTCTCCCAGCGTCTGGCTGGTTTTGGGAACCCGCATGCGGGCACCTGGCAGCCTCGGGGATGTTTTTGGGGTGTCCCTGCCGACCCCCCAGTTCTGGGAAGGTCGCGCCTGTCTCACAGGAGGTGCCTGCAAACGTCCCCTGCCTAAACTGAACAGCTTTGCACCTCGGGGTCTCCACGATTTCCCCCCGTCCAATCACCCCCGAGGAAACAAGGGATGCCTCTCACGCCTGAGACGGACAAGGAAGTGATTTTCCCTCGGGCAGGGTGGATTACGGAGGCAATTTAAGGTTCAAATACGCTCAATAAAATTGCAACACTGCAAACACACACCGAACCGAGCCATTATTTGCCCGCTCTGGTGCCCTCAAAACACATTCCAGGGCCCACGCAAAGCCAGAGTCCCCTCCCAGGGGCCGAAAAAGGACCCTGGAGCCAGCCCAGAGTTCCCAACCTGCTTTTTAATAAAACACCAACTGTTGTTCCGGGGGTTTCTCGTGGGCGGCAGCACCGTCTGCGCAGAGAGCACGTGAGGTGAATTCCCACCCACAGCCAAGCCCTGAAACCATCTGCAAATATTGACAGCACCCAGAACGCAGCCCGGGAGGGAATTTAACCCTGTGCAGGTCTGGGGGAGCCACCAGCAGCAGATTTTATTGCATCTGCTCAGTTCTATAAAAACAAGCTCCATTCAAAGGTCACCCTCCTGCCTTTCGGGGTAAAGAGCTCTGGGACCTCAGGATTTCGGGCTCCCTGAGTTGTTCTCTCAGCCTGGAAAGAAGAGTTTGGTCTAACTCAGCTCTGAACATCTTGAAAACAAGGGCTTGGGGGTGCTGGAAAAGTCCAGACAAGTTCACGGAGGGAAAAGATCATTAAAGCTGGCGCTCTGTTCCAGGGTATTCCTCAGCTTGGGGCACTCAGACACCTCCTTGAACGATCTACTCATTCAGGACAATAAAAAAGGATTTTTACCCGCAAAACACCTCTGCAGGATCGGAAAAGGAGGAACAAAGTCGTGGCTGAGACCCGACCTCTCACCTTGAGGAACTCAAGCATGGGCTGCTGGATTTTCTCCTCCAGCTCGGTGATGAGCTTGTTGAGCAGCGTGATCTCCTTGGAGAGGTCGGTGATGTTCTCGTTCTGCCTCTTGGAGATGTTCTTCTCCATCTTCTCCAGCTGCCCCAGCAGGATGTGCTCCTGGTCGTGCAGGAACTGCCGCAGCCGCTCGAAGTCCGAGAGCAGCTTCTGCCGCTCGCTCTCGATGGTTTTCTGGGAATGAAAAGAGCTTTTCAGGGAGAGGCGCGGTGGTGAATTTGGGGCCTCCCTGTGGGGAGGAATCGCAGGAGGAATTCCTGGACAAAAGCCTTGCGGTGGGAGAGTCAAATCCCTCAACCACTTGTGGTGGAGGAGGAAGCGGCCTGGGAGAGGAATTATTTTCAGTGATCTGGGTTTTGGTTTTTTTCCCCTTCTGCTGCCGCAGGGATGATGTGCTGAGGGAAAGGGAGGGGGCAGGAGATCCCCGGAGCCAGCCCTGCCCTCAGATGCTCCAGCACCGTCCCCGAGCTCTGCTGAGGCTCTGGCCGATGGTGGGGCCAGGAGGAAGGAGAAAACCGCTCCTTCCCCTTTTTCGGGCACTGGGGCGGGTGGTGGGTCCTTCTCCGCCTCCAGACTTGCCCACCACCCCATCCTGGCACGCACCAGCAGCTCCTGCGTTTTCTTATCGTCGTTCACTTTGAACTCCAGCAGCTCCTGCCGCTCCTTCCTCAGGAAATCCAAGCGGCCCTGGATTTTCTCCTGGGAACAGAAGAAGAGGACGTTGCCGGTGTTGCTTTTCCTCCTCTGCCCGCAGGGTTTGCTCTTTTGTCAGGTGGGATGGGGAAGGAAGGAGGAAAACACGGAATGCGCTCCTCGGGAAATCCCTCGGGCTCAGCTCCACCCCAAGGACCCCCAGAGCCCCTTCCCAAAGGAACGGAGGGTGCTGGGGACGGGACGTGCCCTGCTGCCATCGGCTCCTGGCCCAGGCAAAGGCCAGCCCGGCTCGCATCAGCCTCGCTCGTCTCTGGAAGCTGCCCCAGCGCCCAGAGAGCCGCGGCTGCTCCGCTCCCTCAGCCGCTCCCCTCCCGGCCAGGTGAACCCGCCCCAAAAACCCAGGGGAACGCAGGACGGGGGCGCGCACATCCCCGGAGGAGCCGGGAGCTTTTTTGGGAGGCTGGGAAGCGCGGCCAGCTCTTCGGGAGGGCGCTCGAGCGGGGCCGAGCCGGGTGACACTGCGGGGACAAACCCCGCACGCACGCACGGACGGACGGACGGACGGACGGACGGACCTTGTACTCCTCGGAAGCCTCGTCCACCGGCACCACGGCGTGGGGCCGGTGCTCGCGGGACCTGTCGCACACCACGCAGATGGTCCTGCGGTCGTCCTTGCAGTAGAGCTTGAGCGCCTCGCGGTGCTTGGGGCACAGCCCGTCCTCCTCGGCGCCCTTGGCCCCGCGCAGCGCGAACTGGCTGATGATCTCGGACATGTTCGCCAGCTGCCGGTTGGGGCGGAAACTCCGCTGCTGGAAAACCTCCCGGCACTGCGGGCACGGGAAATCCATCTCCAGCTCCTGCCAGCTCTTGACGATGCACGCCCGGCAGAAGTTGTGGCCGCACTCGATGGACACGGGGTCCTTGAAGAACTCCAGGCACACGGAGCAAGTGGCCTCGTCCTGGAGGTTGCCGGGCAGGAACACGGCTGCCATGGCCTCTCTCCTGCGGGTGGGGAATGGTTTCAGCTGCGCTGGAGCGGCAGCGCCTGGCACCCGGCCCCGGGGGCGGTGCCGTTCCGGGAACGCGGCCGCTGCCCGGTTCCCTCCCGCAGGGTCCGGTTTCCCCAACCCTCGGCCCTGGGGCACCCACGGGAAAGCAGCAACGCTGCCCTGTGCTCCCGACAAATCCCGGGATTCCCGGATTATTTTTATTTTTATTTTTTTTTTTTTCTCCTTTCAGCAGGGGAGCAGGAAGAGGAAAATCTTTTGGGATACGCTTCCGGTGGGGGATGTCAGCGGCTCTGGATGGAGCTGATTTATGGCCCCGCTGGTGCTGGGGCTTGTGTGGAGCAGCTGCTCCAGGCTCCGATCCAGGGAACCATCTGAGCCCTCGCTGAAGTCCTGTTTCGCCCCTGAAACTTCAGTTGGGGACTCAGATGACCTGGTCGAGCTCCAGGGCTCATCAGGGGCCATAAAAAGCAACAGGAGAAAGGGAATACACGAGGATGCAAAGCCCTTATCAAGATCTGCGGGTGAGTTTCCCGAATCCAAAGAGATCAAGCTCGGGACTGGGCTCCTGCATCTCAAAATAAAAATAGCCTTGGTCTTCCAGAAATATTTTGTGCAGGTTTGGAGGTCGTGCATTAAATGGGAATGATAATTAAAATAAATATAATTTCTCCGGGGCTGGGGCTGTCCGTAACGTGGTGATTTCCACCTGAGACTTCACCAAGTTCTTGTCGTGGCAAACTGGGACAGGAGGGAGCGGCGGTCACCGGGTGACCGGGGGGGTTCAGGTTACCACGGGCTGGGAAATGAGGGATCCTCTAGAGAGCGATTTGTCTTCTCCTAATGAGGACCTGGAATCGGATCGAGCCACCCATAAATTCTGATTTGAAAGCCA